CTTGCACAAATTCAGATGCGGGAATGACTCCGGACGAATAAACAGTGTTATACCATTGATTTAGAGTTACACTAGATTGAATTACATCTGATAAGAGAGCACTGGATAGAAACACTTCCCTGAGTGAAGCTGCATACGCCTCCAGTGCACCTTATACGACTAGGCACCAATCTGACATTGCACGAGCTGAGATCACGACCGAAGAGGATGTTGAAAGCAATCCTGCTGTGCTCACTGATCGACGGAGTAATAAGCAGAATACTCAGATGGACGTATACCACAATCATGAGGAGTAGAGGGACTACGCCAGCAGTGACGTTGACCGAGGCCAAGAGCCAGCGCATGATGGCGTTGACGAGGTAGTTGATGAGCTACTGTTACAGAAGTTGAACTGTCTAAACTCTGTGAGGAGGAATAACATGTAGCTACCGATTACCCGCACTACGACAAGTAATCAAAAGTAGTCTGTGTGGTATTGTTAGAATATGAGTCTACTCCTCCCTCAGGCGGAATCCGTAGCAAATGCAATGAGAGCTGTAATGTCACACTGTTCAACTGTTCAACGGCTGTGACTTTACCTGACGTTGCACTTGCGCGACACGAACATAACACAAGCCCGTTGAATTCGTGCAAGGCATAAATCTCGCTCGCCCGTAATCAATTTGTCTGAGTGACAATTGAAGGATTTATGGATTCGTGGGTAGCATTGATCATCAACTGACAATTTATATACCGGAATGAGGAGGTAACGAACAACAGCTTGAAGGGTTTCACAATGATGAGTATCGCGACAACTGAATAGTCGTCGGTGGTACCGAAATCACTCTTATAATCAACACATGGTGCCCGTCCGTGAATACTCGTACGTGTTCATCGGCATAGGTAAGACCATGGACAGTATTGACGGCGAGCCGCTTATTGTGGACTCTCATCAGTGGGGGAATACGGATATGTTGATGCGAAAATCCAAGGAAGAACGACAAAATCCAAGGAGGTTTATCGCTCGCTCCCAGCAGTTCGGGTTTCCGGTTGCCTTAGGTAACAGCTTTTACCTATGCCGCAGCGGCGCATTGCATGATGTTATCCTCGCTTCCGCGACTCAATCAGCTACGTCCCCCGTCGTCGTAAATTCAATGATCGGGCTCCTACATGGGGACGGGCCTTAATAGCCAGTATTGTCAAGTAAACACCATCAACTAACACAATGCTGAATGTCGTTATGGCATCATGATCATACTAACACCATGCAACGGCTGATTTACTTCATTAATATGAGCGTCGGCTACAGCCGAGCCTTCCAGGTAGTACGTCTGAGGTGGAAGTATTCTACACTTCTCTACACCTTCAAAACGTTCACAGGTGGCCGAACGAACAAAGCATCCGAGCGATATCTTCTACGGGTGCATACCAATACACAGTTAGCTACAGCCAAGATAAACGTAAATACTGCCACCAACCAAAGGCCCATCATCGCCCCGAGGGTCCAATCTCGGACTTCTGTGATAACTGCTGTACTACTAACACACCAGGCAGCAGCAGCACCACTGATGCCCTCTTCAATATCAACTCCTCCACTCGCGAGTGCAACACACACGCCATAGTCGGCCATGTTGATATTCTTCCTCAAACCTTCCGAGATCCATTCTGTCATCTTGTCTTGGACAACACCAGTATCACACTCAACAGAGCTGCAAATAAATTCCGCGCTCATATCAGATTCACACGAAATGGAGCAGTTGTCGGCTCGCCACACCTCCACAAAACCATCGCGGATGACCTCATAGCCGTCCAGATCGGGCGTCTCAAGTGCATTGAGCTGACCAAGGTCCTTAGCAGCAAACTCATCAGTGAAGGTGAAGAAGATGGTCGAACCGATGGCACCCACCAAGAAGGCTATAAAGAGAATAATCGCCAGGACCCAGAAGCACGACAGGATACATTTCTTCTCTTTGTGAGCCGCACAACATGCCACCAATGATAGAATCATAAGTAGTATGCCAGCAGCAAGAGAGATCCAAACCCACCATGTCTCAATGAGATCGCTAAACTCAGAAAACAGATACCAAATACTCACGCCAACGACGAGGCCTCCCAAAAGGAAGACGAGACTGCCAAATATGTAGTTGACCCATCTCGAGAATTTGTGGCAACAACCATCCATTGCAACAATAATGGAATATCAAATACTGAGAGGAACGAAAACGACAAACGCAAGCCACCACGTACCATAGAAACAGCCTCCCTCAAATTCATTCGAAGAATAGGAACGTGATGGACTACAGTGATATGAGACAACACGAGGGCTATTGGATCGAATGGGAACGAGAGTCAATTCAACTAACTTCCACATCTTAGAACCTAATACATAGGCCGAAATCTATCATCTGTGGAGACACTCACAATTGGATATAAGGGGACTCTAGTTTTACGGAAAAAGTTATCCATAGTATCATTTAGGTTGACAATCAAATCGCGTCATGGACTACTCATAGAGATCACAAATTGTGATCCCTATGAGTAGTCCTATGAGACTCATAGGCTACTCGTAGTATGCCTTCCCGGCAAGGAGGATTCACAATACTAACGTCTTGGAAGTTACCATAAAAGCGTTTGCAACAGCAGGAGTGTTGGCGTTGGTCTGAGTGATCAAGACAACATCGTGGCTCTCAGCCTCATCCTCTTTTAGTTAATTGACACATTTGTAAAACTAGCAGTAGGAAGACAGAAACATGATTTCATGATCTGAAATATCTACCGTGAGGTCAAATATTTGATATCATCAATTGATTAACAATTATACAGCTGAGTTTACAATAGAGATATCAAGTTCATGATGACAGCCAAAGAACGTTTTCGTATAGTATCAATGAGGTACTGGTCCGGGGAGTATGAGAACGACGGTTGGTCAGTTTGAGAGCAAGCGAAACAACCTTCGCTATCTGATATGGGATTACTACGAGGCGCGATGTGAATCTTACTGCTATGCTTCCTTTGAGGAGACTCTCTTCAAGAGAGCGCCAACTCCTTCTTTGATTGCAGTTGTAGGGAATGCTGAACATCCCGAGTTGTGGTCAGACTGGACTCTCGTATCGACTTGGCAACTAGAAGGCCAGCTACGAGAGTGCCTGACAGGTTTTCACCTCGCAAAACTGTCGGCCTCTAAGGCAAGGGACTCACTCAAGTGTACGAACCCAGACCCATCAGTAGAGCGGCCAATAGCGAGGCTGTACTTGATGGGGTGATTGGCACAAGGGAGCATTAGGGGCTCAGCTGTGGTTCCTGGGGGTCACAGATGAATTCCGGAAGTTGATCATGGACTTACTTGCTGCAGTGACACCTGCTCCTGCATGAAGGATGGAGAGACCACCACATCGGCAAACTTGGGGGCGAAGTTGAGCTTGCGATACGTAGGATCGACTTGGCATTTGATCTTCAATATCTGATAGAGAGAG